TCTCACTATGCGTTGGAGGGTTCTATGACAGGACGCATTGCAGGTTCCAAACCACACAGTGATGCAGCTTGACAGGATGCTCTCGATGGTGCCTCTGTAGAAAGTGTGCATGATGGGGGCTGGTGCTCCTGCTCTTCTTAGTTTGCGGAGAAAGAAGAGACGCTGCTGTGATTTCTTGGCCAGTGCTGTGGTGTTGTACGTCCAGGAGAGATCCTCTGTGATGTGCACACCCAAGAACTTGGTGCTGCTCACTCTCTCCACAGACGCTCCGTCAATGGTCAGAGGAGCATGTTGGGTGTGCATTCTCCTGAAGTCCACAACAATCTCCTTCGTCTTCTCCACATTCAGAGAGAGATTGTTGTCAGCACACCACGTGGCCAGGCGTCTCACCTCACTTCTGTAGTCGGTCTCATCCCTGTTGCTAATGAGACCCACCACCGTTGTGTCGTCCGCAAACTTGATGAAGAGGTTGGAGCTGTGTGATGGAGTGCAGTCATGGGTCAGCAGAGTGAAGAGGAGGGGGCTCAGCACACATCCCTGCGGGGCCCCCGTGTTTAAAATGATGGTGCTGGATGTGTTACTGCCGACCCGTACTGTTTGAGGTCTTCCGGTGAGGAAATCCAACAGCCAGTTGCACAGTGAGGTGTTGAGCCCCAGCTGGACCAGTTTTTGAGTGAGCTGTTGGGGGATTATAGTGTTGAATGCTGAACTGAAGTCTATGAACAGCATTCGAACATATGAGTCATTTTTGTCCAGGTGTGTGAGTGCCGAGCAGTGTTGGTCAAGTTACTTGAAAAAAGTAATCAGTAATTAATTACTGATTACTCCCCCCAAAAAGTAATCCCGTTACTTTACTGATTACTTATTTTCAAAAGTAATTAATTACTTAGTTACTTAGTTACTTAGTTACTTTTTAAAAACACGATTTACAACCTGAAGAGGTGATAAAGTGATAGATCTTTCAGCCCAATTCTACTTTTTCTACATAATCCATCATACAAAATGTAATCAAATGGAAAAGTCTCTTTTTTTAACTTGTTTTATCAGTTTTAATCTTTTAACTTTATGCATCAAGCAAAACATTTAATTATATGCAACATTCTCTGACTTGAATAAATTAGTTTAACATTTAAACCTATTTTCTACACATTCCAGCACATAAAATAAAATATTTTTTGTGTTTTCACTCACTATTTCAAACAGATGCAAGTAAAACACAGCAGAAAATAAATAAAGTCAAAGACTCAGCGGTCCTTTTGCTCTATTTTCACCTGTAAAGCAGGAGCAGGGTAGGCGGAGGGTTACCCTGGTGTAGGTGTGCTGCGGTCAGTTGAAGAATCTGCGCGAGTTTCTCTGTGAGTTTCCCATCACGTCGTAGCTACTCGGTGCTTGTTGGAAGTTTAGGGGTTTTTTTCGCTGTAAAAAGAAGTTTTCTTCCCACGCACGATGGACGCTAATGTTTTTGTCACTTTTTATGGAATCAAACTCAAAGTAAGGTCAGTACTTCCACACTTTAAACGCTGCACGCTCATACTCTCTCCCGCACTCGATATATTATCCATTGTTGATCTGCACACAGCTGCTGTCACCAACGTCGCACTTGCTTACGTCACTGTCATGAGACATTCTCGCAAAAAAAATCACGGTTTTAGTAACGCAGTAACGCAGCGTTCCTACGGGAAAGTAACGGTAATCTAATTACCGATTTTGCAATAGTAATCCCTTACTTTACTCGTTACTTGAAAAAAGTAATCAGATTACAGTAACGCGTTACAAGTAACGCGTTACTGCCCATCTCTGGTGCCGAGTGGAGTGCAGTGGAGATGGCATCATCGGTTGAGCGGTTGGGCCGATACGCAAACTGGAAGGGATCCAGGGAGGGGGGCAGGACCGTCTTGATGTGTTGCATGACTAGTCGTTCGAAGCACTTCATCAGGATGGGAGTAAGTGCAACAGGACGGTAGTCATTAAAGCAGGAGGGAGATGACTTTTTTGGAACCGGAATGATTGTGGTGGCTTTAAAACATGTGGGGACGACAGCCTGGATGAGTGATATGTTGAAGATGTCTGTGAAGACATCAGTGAGTTCCACTGCACAGTCTCTCAGTGCACGACCAGGAATGTTGTCAGGACCCGGAGCTTTACGTGCATTGATCCTGCTGAGGGATCTCCTCACGCTGTCCGGTGACAGAGTCATCACCTGGTCACCAGGAGGGGGTGGGGTCTTCTGTGCAGTGGTGTTGTTTTGGACTTCAAAGCGAGCAAAGAAAGTATTCAGCTCGTTCAGCAGGGGGATAGTGCTATCACAGGTCTGTGGTGGGGGCTTGTAATCTGTGATGGTCTGAATGCCTCGCCACAGGCTCCATGAGTCTCTGCTGTCTTTGAAGTGATGAGATATTTTCCTGGAGTACTGTCTCTTAGCCTCTCTGATGCCACGGGAAAGGTTGGCCCTAGCTGTCCTCAGGCTCGCCTCGTCTCCATCTCTGAAGGCAACATTCCAAGCTTTCAGCAGCCTGTAGACCTCTCCTGTCAGCCATGGTTTTTGATTGGCCCGGACAGTTATGGTTTTCGTGACTGTTACATCCTCAATACACTTGTTGATGTAGGCAGTAACAGTCTCTGCGTACTCCTGGAGGTCAGTGGTGTTGTTATAGGTGGCAGCCTGCTTAAACATGTTCCAGTCTGTGGTGTTGAAGCAGTCCTGTAAAGCCTCTGAAGACCCTTCTGGCCACACTTTTATCTGCTTACGAACCGGTTTGGTGACTTTAACGAGCGGTCTGTAGGCAGGCATTAGCATGACAGTGATATGGTCTGAGGCGCCGAGGTGGGGGAGGGGAAAAGCTTTGTAAGCTCCTCTCTGGGTGGTGTAAACAAAGTCCAGTGTGTTATTTCCCCTTGTTGGAAAGTCTATGTGTTGTTGTATTTTTGGAAACACGCACTTTAAGTCTGCATGATTGAAATCCCCAGCCAGGATGAGAAAAGCATCAGGATGGGCTGTCTGCTGCTCACTGATGTGCTGGTACAGTTCATTCAGTGCCTCGTTCCTGTTGTTGACATTGGAGGAGGGAGGGATGTACACAGCGCACAGTAGTATGGCTGTATATTCCCTCGGTAGATAGAATGGCCGGCACTTAATAACCATAAACTCCAGCACTGGTGAGCAGTGTTTGCAGACCGCAACAGCATCGCGACACCAGGCATCATTGATGTAAACACAAAGTCCTCCCCCGCGGGTCTTACCTCCCGCGACGATGACTCTGTCAGCACGGTAGCATGTTAGCTGGTCGAGCTGAATGCCGCGGTCCGGGACACCGTCGCTGAGCCATGTTTCCGTGAACACAAAAGCACAGCAGTCCTTTACATTCCTTTGAGATGAACGTAGCAGTCGGATGTTGTCCAGTTTATTTCTAGCGAGCGTACGTTGGCCAGAACGATAGAGGGGATGGCGGGTTTGTGTGGGCTAGCCGCTAGCCTAGCTCGGATGCCACCGCGCTTACCCCTCTTCTGCTTCCTCTCACACCGCTTGAGGCGCATCCATTGTGGGCGAAGTGCGGGAGTGGGGGTCGGTGATTGAGTAGGCCTTCGGAGCAGACCCAGATCTTTCAGCTTCTCGGTGTCCACAGAGTTTAACTTAAACAGTTTGTTTCTGCCGATGTCGAGAAGAAGTGTTCGGGCATATCCTCGCTTGCACACAGATAGACGCGACAAAGACTTACAAAAACACTGCAACTTACAGGACGAAAAACACGAAAAAGTAGTTTGTTTGGGAGAGAGAGAAGCCGCTGCGTGTGCACGCGCCGCCATGTTGAAGAGTCATGAGTCCACTCAAAACGCTGGCTCAGATACCCAGGACCATGAGTGTTGATGTTCCATATTGATGTTACATCTGACACTGAAGCCCAGAGGCCTGTGTCAAGCAAAGGGGGGTGTCCAAGTGAAGCCTGTGTTCTGAGTGTTTCTCTGAAATGACGCAGGTGTGGTGATTTGTGCCAGTGGGTAGGTTATGCCACCCCTTATTCATGTGAATAATAATTGACCTGACTATATAGGTTAAATGCTTCCATTAGGTTTAGAGTGTATGTGTGTATATTCTATTATATAGAATTGTAATGATCCTTAAGAGGATTTTATTGTGATATGTTCACTTTTTCCGTTGCAATGTTACAGTTACAATGTAACAGAGACGTGCTTTGGTTGTGGTTTATGGAAAAACATTGAGTGTGTATTCCGGGGGGGAATTTTAGCTTCATATCTCAAGTATTTTTTAACATATATTTCTTTTTTGAGAAATTATGAAAGGAGCTTGCAAAGAAAAGCGTCTGGACTTCTTTAAGTTGCTTGAAGACGTTTCACCTCTCATCCGAGAAGCTTCTTCAGTTCTAAGGTCAAATGGTGGGGAGTCCCAGATATAAACCTAGTAAAGGTTGGCTACAATAGGTGACACGGGGGAGCCCATGGCACAGCCATGTTTTTGTCTGTAAAAGCCTTCGTTGTATTTGAAGTATGTGGTGGTGAGGCAGAGGTCTAACAGTGTGCAGATCTGATCGGGTGTGAAGTTGGTCCTGTCCTCCAAGGAGCTGTCTTCTTGTAGTCGTTTTCTGACAGTCTCCACTGCCTCCGTGGTGGAAGAGAGAGACTACATCAAAGGACACCATGGTTTCATCTGGATCCAGGGTAAGTTTCTGGACCTTGTCGGTGGAGTTCTTGATGTGGTGTGGGGTGTTCCCCACGAGAGGAGCAAGGATGGTAGCAAGGTGTTTAGCAATGTTGTAAGTGGCTGAGTTTATGCTACTGACTATGGGTCTGAGTGGGACAGCTTCTTTGTGGATTTTAGGAAGTCCGTAGATGCAGGGTATGGCATCCCCTGGGTAAAGGTGATGATATGTAAGGCGGTCAATGATTTTGTCCTTTTCAAAGTCTTGAAGGCAAGCTATAACTTTCTTTTTGTAGCTGCTTGTGGGGTCTCGCTTTAAGGCTTCGTAGGTATTGTTGTCACTGAGGAGAGTAGTGATCTTTGTATGGTAATCTGTAGTGTTTAGGACCACGGTGCATCTTCCCTTATCAGCTGGTAAAACAGTGATGTTGTGGTCTTTGCTCAGGGAAGCGACGGCCTTCTTTTCCTGTATTGTGAGGTTGGATGAGGGACTTTGGCACTGGAGAGCGTGGCTGAGACTTTCATCCTGATTTGCTCTGCTTCTGTCTGTGATAATTTATTAATCCGTATGGCAGATTCTGTGGCTGTGATGAGGTCCACTATGGGTAACTGTTGTGGAGAAATGGCAAAATTGAGTCCTTTGGCTAATACTTTCTTTTCAGGTTCAGTGAGAATCCTGTCTGAAAAGTTCTTAACCCATTTCTCCTGACTGACTTCAGGTGTGTTTTCTTCTCTGGGTTGTGTAGGTTCAGGATGAGGAGTGTGTGTTTTTGAAAGCAAGGTGTGAAATTTCCTGCGTTGTCTTTCTTTTCCTTTAGAGTGTTGGGCCCGCTGAGCCTTGTCCACAAACTTGTAAACCTCTTCTAAGATTGGAGAGGGTAGAAGGATTTCCAGTTCCTGCAGGGTCTGGCTGATCTTGATCTGGAGGGCATCTATGGTGAAATGGACCTGTCTTATCCTTTCACTTAAAAGGTGATTTTGTGCTCTCTGTAGAATCAAGTCTGCTCTGTATCCCCTGACAGTGGATCCAAGGCGCAGGCTCTTAGGAACAACTCTGCTTTGTCTGCATCTTAGGTTGAAACGGAGATGGTTCCTATAATCCGCTAGTTTCCTTGATTCCCTTTCATACTCCCGCACCAGTTGAAGGGTGTTCCTCCCAAAATGTACGGCAATATGTCTGTGAAGGTTCTCAGTCATCCAGGTATCGTAGTCAAAGGAGCTTGCAAAGAAAAGCGTCTGGACTTCTTTAAGTTACTTGAAGACGTTTCACCTCTCATCCGAGAAGCTTCTTCAGTTCTAAGGTCAAATGGTGGAGAGTCCCAGATATAAACCTAGTGGGAGTTTCCCCCCACAGAGGGACAAAAGGACCCCCTGATGATCCTGTAATCGCCTGAGCCAAGGTGTGAAACTGGGTGTGGGTCCCAATCATTGAGAAATTGTCGTTTTTTCACATCTGAACATGAACATCTCAAAAACTATTAAAAGCCTTAAACGTTTTCGCTGGTCATTGAATAAGAATCTGTAATTTGGGAAAGATACATCAAAAATGTTTGTATTGGCTAGTTGAACTTCCGCGATGTAAGGTCTGACCTTCACTAAGGCTCTTTTCTGGACTTTTCAGATGTTGCGGTCAGGAAGGCTCATCAGCATTTATACATCCTAATGAGGCTCAGGAAGAATTAGTGCTTTTTTATTCCCAAGCCATCAGACTCCTCTGCTGCAACACCTGACACCTGACTGCTGCTTACAACTGTCAGATTTCTCATGTGCCACATGCTGAATAGAGAACGTCCTCCACTCTATGCATATGAGTAACTCATGTTGCTTTAGTTCAGATGTTGAGTGATTTATTTTTCTCATCAAATACATATTAACCAGTTGTTAACTTATACATGTCAAATAAAACTGACACTGAGCATCGTGGAGCTGAAATATGATCATTCCTTCTCATTTGGATTCACTCATCTCAGCTGACACATTCAACAGCAAAGAGCTTTTTGTAGCAGTCTGTCTCACTGTGGGAGGATTGGGAGGATTACTGGTACTACCAAGGTCACCTCATCTTTGGCTCTGGAACTAAACTCTATGTAACAGGTAAGAACAAACATTTATTTTCCTTCAGTTGTTTTATTGTAGAAGCTGAAAATGTGTTTAAAGTCAGTTTGTGCTGCTTCAGGCTTTACATGTTAGTTTTTCATCATTAGTAGAGAATTCATCTGCAATTAAAAATAATTAAATCTTTTGTAAATGTTTTGTGAAAAATGTTAACATTACCCTTGTTGAAGGGAAAAAAATTATAAGTATTTTTCACTAACTTAATTAAAATATTTTTAAAGATTAGTTATGGTAAGTACAAATAAAATTTCAATACAAGTCATGTATAATGTAATGGGATGTAATGAATCGTAGAATACTGCATAGCATGCAATGTTTTATTAAATTTGTGTTTCTATTTTTTTATTTCTAAATAGAGGGGCGTGTAATAAGAGTTTAAATTGATGATTCTAATGTAAAGAGCTATTAAAGAATGATAGAATCAAAGGATTTATTAAAATAATATGTGTATTAAATCATGTGTAAATTGAGATTATGGAGGTCTGGCATAAAACCAGATTCATTTGTAGGACCTAATTTTTAAACTATGTGTCAGTAAATATCTGTGTATCAGAAAGTGGACATATTATGAAATTCTTATGATCAAATCTCATACAATCAAAAAAATAATACAATATTTAAAACACTGAAACTAAATGAACCTTTCATTGAAGCTATATTTAAAATGTGTTTTAGAAAAGCAAAGACCCATTATCGACACTTTAAGTAGGTATTTAACATGCATGATGATAACTTGCATCATCGTGGGGAAGATTGTCTAATATAAAATGCGAATCACTACTTCTTTTTTTATGAGGTTTGATCAATATTATTTTAAAATGTGTTAATATATTATTAAAAAATGAAATTGAAACATTGGGGAAATAAAGTTATATTTAGTTTTCATTTCATTTCTCATGTGAGCCATGATGACATGAGGTGATGACTGTGTTTGATATGAAGCTGAATCCAGTGTATGTAGTGAACTTTGTGCTGATGAGTAGTTTAGTGATCAGAGTCCATGTAGTTTCCAGGATCAGACTGAATGCAGTGCAGTGCTGGAAGCTGCTGCTGACTGTGTGAATGTGTGTCTGTGCTGCTTGTTGCTGCTGTCAAACTTCAGATGAGCAGGTAGTGAAGCCCGTGGTGAGCGTGTACCCAGCAGCATCCAGAGCCCACCTGGAGGGGAACAGCTCCCTGCTGTGTGTGGCCTCAGCCATGTTTCCTCCTCTGGTCCAGTTCTCCTGGAAAAGACAGAAGAAGAACGGCGGAGAAGCGGAGGAGCTGCCCCCTGCTGAGGGAGAGCAGCTGGAGCTCAGAGAGGCGGGAAAGGTCGTAGCCATCAGGATGGTTGATCGTGATGATCTCTTCACATACATGTACAGATGTTACGTCAAACATGAGGGGGGCACAGTGGAGGCTCCAGCACAACAAGGTAATGAAGGCTTGGTGACTGTGCTCAGCAAACAAGAATATCACTGATGTTTCCCACTGCAGCTCAAAACGTTTAACTCTTTTCTGTTTCAGAAGTTTCTGCCTGGTATCAGAAGTTTCTACAACGTGTGAAGCTGCTCTGCCTGCTGTACACAGTGCTGATAGTGAAGAGTCTGGTGTACTGCTGTGGACTCTCTCTGCTGATGATGCTCACAAACAAGGGAGCGTCCACCAACTGCACACATGCTGACTGACTGTTTCCTGCTCGCCTTTTCTCACCATCACATCTCATCAATTCATCTCATTCATCACTTTGATCACAAATGTTAGTTATGATGTGTTGAGCTTATTTTGCCTTTTTCTTCAACAGTTAGAAGATCGTCTGAAATAAATACATCTTTACATGTATTGTTGCTCTGAGTTAGAATTCTTTTTGTGCTTATTGTGACTTTTATTGTAGTAACAAAAACCATCAGGAATATTTTTATCACAAGTTTTTGTTTGATTTTCAAATGTCAAACAGTGTAGTTGTGTTTGTGTGAACAATAAAGATTTGAAGATGAAGAGTTTGATTCTACTTTCATTGTGTGATCAACAACAACCCGTGTGAGTGAAGCACAAACTGACTGTATCCAAACTTGCTCTCCTGCAGCAGACGGGCTGTGTGGGTTTCTGCTCTGCAGCCTCCACACCGTTAGCTGTGGCTTTCACTTTAATAACACAATGACAGTTACAAGCAGGAACTCTGCTTCAAGAATGATTCCAGGAAGGATCTGTGTTCTTCACCTGTGAGAGAAACAGCTCAAATCCTCAACTCACAGCTGACAAATGAACTTTAATGGACTCAAAGGAGAGACCATGAAGCCCCTGCAGTCTGCTCAGCTCCCATTTTATTACCTGAGCTGAGTTTTTCATTCTGGATATCACACACGTAAGAACAGATCAAGTCTGAACAGCAAATGTTGGAGAATCATTTTGAAGTCTTGCTAAATGTCGTTATTATTACAAAAACTACTGAATGATTCAGAAAATCCTTTCCAACAAGCAGAAATATGCAAACAAAGTAGAAACAAGGCAACATGAGTCATTCAGATGCAGATAACATATTCTCCTTATTGTGAAGAACACAGTCATGAAATCTTTCTGTGTGTCATTCATTGAGTTGAAGTGCCTAATAGAAGAGGAAGAGCAGCAATAATCAATGATAGCTGAGACATTGAGAACATGGCTGTATGCCTGCTATCATAACAGCAAACAAAGCACACAAACAGCAAACACACAATAATGTGCTCGCAGCTTGTTGTGTGTTGTGTCATTTTTGACATTTCATGAAGTCACAAAAATGTGTGCGACTCATTAAAGGAGTGTGTACGTGTCAGTCAGTGCTCTGTATTCATGTGTTCACCTCATTAAAGTCACTCAGACACTTTTCTCCTCCAAACTTACAGCACAGCTTCATATTTTACTGACTGATTCTTTCATTACATCCATTAAGGGTCACACAGTGAAATTAGTGCAAACTTACAAATGTGTTGCAACAATTTTGGCCTCCAAACTGAACTTTGAGACAAACAGTGAAGCTGTGAGCAAAAAGAGGCTCCAGTGTGTGTCATGGTGGAGGAAACTGTTGTATTCCCACATTCAAAACATGCTGATCTTATTGGATTTGTCCCTCAAAGTCTTTTTCCTCCTTTTTCTCTTCATCCAAATGTTCTAGCAGGCTGACTGTGAGTCCCTGTTGAACCTGTACAGCAGAAAGTAACAGCAGTCAGCGGCCTCCACTTGACTTCATGACTTCAACGCCTCGCACAGTCACTTTCACTTTCTTCCTTCTGTCTTTTAGTCCTAAAATGTAGAACAACACCAGATCCAAATATTTGTGTCCTTCACTCACATCTTCTAATGATCCCTTCCATATCAGAGATGATACAAAGGCAACATTTGTCTTATTTCTCTTTCAGGAATCAAAAAGTACTTTTGTACTGTTGTGTAAATGTGTGTGTAAAGGTGGATGACTGCCTGCTGCAGATGAAATCTAACCATGGCTACAAATAAATGAAGCTGACGTGAAACACAGCCCTGTTTTTATTACTGTTTATAGATATTAGAATTGATGATCATCATTTGAATGATTCTTAAAAAGGCTTTAATGAATCCTTCAGTCTGAAACCAACTTGGAACAAAACACATTAGAAGATGTGGGAAAGAACCACAGTGTGCACATATTTAAACACACAACAGAACCACAGTGTGCACATATTTAAACACACAACAGAACCACAGTGTGCACATATTTAAACACACAACAGAACCACAGTGTGCACATATTTAAACACACAACAGAACCACAGTGTGCACATATTTAAACACACAACAGAACCACATGTGTTTGTTAAAAATAAGATTTTTACTCTAAATATTGTTATATATGATTTTGGTTTTTTTTAACTGCTTTGTGTGCAATTTATGAACTTTTAAAATATTTAACCATATTATTTATTTTTAGATTTTTCTATTTATTTGTAGTTTCGTTATATTTAGTGTTTTCATCACAGCTGTTAAACCACAGATAACAGTGTGTGTTACTAAATTCACAGCAACATGAATGTTTCTGAGTGTTTGTGCATCATGTGACCCAGATTTTTGGATCTGCTGTCAGATTGAAATGAAGACGATGAAACCACAGCAGCTTCAGCTGAGCTGTCAATCAGCAGCAGCAGTCTTATCTGTGGGCCGCAGGGGCTGATGGGAGCTTTGAGGACCTGTTAGAAACCACGTGGCCCTCGTCTGATCTCACAGCTCGTCCTTGTTTGGCCTCAGCTGCATCAGAGCGCCACTTCTCCCCAGGTTCACCAGAGGAAACACCACTGCACAAAATGCTTTTCCTCCCAGCTGCTGCTCTGTGCTGTCTGTGTTCAGGTGAGTGTTTCCAGCCAATCAGGAGCCAACAAAGTCAACCTGTAACAAACACTGTCACACTAACCTTCATCTATCTGTCTGTGTCTCTACAGCACTGGTTACCATGGCAGCAGAACAGCTGATTCAGGACGATTTAACATTGACCAGGAGAGTTGGAGAAAGTGTCTCCTTCAGCTGTGGAGGGACTGAACAGTGTGGTGACAGCTATCGGTACTGGTACCAGAAGAAAGAAAAAGAAACATTTAGAATTATTCTGTATAGTTATAAGAGTGGTGGTAATTACAGAGTTTCAAAGCCTTACAATCATCCTCAGCAAGATGATTTCATAGTTGAGAATGAAGAGAACAGCTGTGAGTTGAAGATAGAGAAAGTTAAACGCGATCATTCAGCCACCTACTACTGCTCCTGTGTTAAATATGATCCCCACAGTGAGAAATGATCCCTGCAGCCTGAACAAAAACCAACAGATGAACAGATGTCAAACAGTGTCTGTGACAGGAAGAGAGCAGTAAACCACAGCCCAGCTTCACATGTTTCACCTCCATCTCAGAGTCACAAACATACTGAGCTCAGGGACCATTTTTATTTACTGCTGTCAGAAATTCAATTCTATTTATTTCTGTTTAAACAGATTTTTCATCCTGTTTTAAGACAGAAACAAGAGGAACAGATGACATCAAACTTCCAAATGTAAACAAATGTATCCTCAGTCCCACAAAAACATTTATTCAAAGTGAAAGAAAAACAGATTGTGTCAAACTGAGTCAAAGTCCATCCCTCATTCACAGTGTTAATGTTCTCTTCATGAAAACTCTTCCAGCAGCACTTGTTGTTTAACACCTTTCAGTACATTTAACCAGACACTTGGACTGATGTCAGGTCAGGATCTTGTCCTTCTAGCAGCGGCTCATTAGGACGCTGATGTTGTTGGACAGGTTTCCATCAGTTTCCTGTGGATGTTTATAGAGGATGAATCAGTCACGGTGCCTCATCTTTCTGTCACCATCTTTTCTCTCCTATCTAAACAAAATGATTTTGTATCTGAGTATGTTGAATCCAGAATCACAGGATAAGATTTCTGTTCATTTTTCCCGATGAATCACATTTGAACAGCATGCAAGCAATAGTCTGTCAGGAGAACAAAAGAGTTCATCTGCTGAAAATGCATTGCATCATCAAATATAATCTAGACATGTGCTTTCATAGACAACGAGCAATTGCAGGAAGTTGATTTCTTGCCCAGATATCTGCTGGATAAACCAGAAGCCCAGAAAACTTGTGCGTTGTATCCAGAATCTAAGTCAGCAGACTAATCGATGGGTTCCCAGATTGTCCAAACACAGCAGGTCATGGCTGCCCTGACCTGGTTGTGCCAGAGGTTTGTTCTCTTTTTACGCATTTTAGCCAATAAAGGCAGAAATATTGGAATTTATTAGTAGTATTATTGGAATTATTAGAAATTGAAATAGTCATGGACTGGTGTAGAAACAGCTTTTAGGGTGGATCACCCCCGGGTCTGTTGCTATGGATTACTATCTCACAGGTCGATCAGTAAACTCTGTCTGATCTGTTTCTTGATTTTTGATCTTCACTTTCCGTGTCCTAAATTTTGTCCTGCCAAGCTAAAGCTGAATTATTACATTTCATATCAAATATAAAATTAGGATTCAGCTACAGTTGAATGGGCATTTCTATATTTATATAAATATATAAATAATTCCCTTCTCGGGTCCTCTACCAGAGGCCTGGGAGCTTGTGGGTCCTGCGCAGTATCTTACCTGTTCCTAGGACTGCGCTCTTCTGGACAGAGATCTCCTATTTTGTTGCTGGGATCTGCTCAAGCCACTCACATAGTTTGGGAGTCACCACACTTAGTGCTCCGATTACCACTGTATCCTGTACACTATGCTGGCCAATTGGTTATGGCGTTCCATGTATGCCTTGCCTGCTAGCATCTTCCATCCTGCTGTTATGTGCTGGATTTTCTCTGGGGCATCTTTACACAGCCTGCACCTGGGGTCTTGCCAGGTGTGATAGACCCCAGCCTCTATGGATCCTATGCTCAGAGCTTGTTCCTGTGCTGCCATGATTAGTGCCTCTGTGCTGTCTTTCAGTGCAGCCACTGGTAGGATTTCTGGATGTCAGCCACCTCCTCTATCTGCTCCTATATCTCCTCTATCTGATACACACCGTGCAGGGGCCTGTCCTCCTGTGATGGTTCCTCCTTCTCCTCCTCTTTCTTTGATTTCTGCTGCCTTAGGTATTCACTGAGCTTGTGGTCATTTGGGCCCATCTTCCTGATGTATTCGTGGATGTTCGTTGCCACATCCTGAACTTTGGTGCTGACACTCACCAGTCCCCGGCCTCCTTCCTTCTGCTTAACATACAGTCCCAAGGTGCTGGACTTCGGGTAAAACCTTCCATGCATGGTCAGGAGCTTCTTTGTCTTGATTAGGGATGGGTATCGTTTAGGTTTTATCCGATACCAGTACCAAACCGGTACTTTTGAAACCGGTTTGGTACTGTGTGTGTGTGTGTGTGTGTGTGTGTGTGTGTGTGTGTGTGTGTGTGTGTATGTTAACAAAATTAACTAACAGTTAAACAACACCTTGGTGGCAGAGCCCCTGGGGTGGACGAG